CATAGTCCTAATTGCCAATAGTCCTGAAGAACTACAAGCCCAAATTAACGAACTAAATACAGCCAGCAGTAAAGTAGGTCTCAAAATTACGCATTATCTTCTACAAGCAAAAACTAAAGTAATGTACAACGAACTAGTAGGCAGAAAAGACATTCTAATAAATAGCACAACACTAGAAATAGTAGAAGATTAAATATATTTGGGACAACTAATACAGAGCTTGGGATCTCTACCACCAGAAATCATACAGAGTGGATACGACAAAAGACCCTCAAAAGTAAAATCTCTTCAGTGGCAATAGGTAGGATACCTGGCAAGAAGGACAGACAACAGATGGGCGAGAAAAATTACAGCATGGTACCCACAAGGAATTAAGAGACCTAGAAGACCATTACATTAGGAAATTAGCAGGGATAACTTGAGCTCGCATAGCCAACGACAACAATGGGCCCAACTACAAAGAGATTATGTAAATATGTGGGGGAGGCTACACCATAGTGTTTGTTGAACAATCTGTTGATGATTACTACAGGTAAGAAAGTATCCTCTTACAGCTTCATCATTTTCTAGATTTTTAAATATTTTTTTTTATTTTTTAGATAAAATAATCTGCATCAAAACCGAAGTGTACAGGGTGGTCGAAATTGGTCTGTTTTAACAGAGAAAACCTATTTCCTGACTAGATAGAGCAAAACCGACATAGATGTCATGGGCTCGTTTCTGGGATACGTCTAATGGCGTAAATCGCCTGTTGATATTTTCACTGCTGACTGAGATACGGGGTCTTTTTTAATTCTTTACCATTTGGAAACTTGTCCATAACTTTTGTATTTCGCGGAATAATAAGATTCTGTAAAAACGTTTTTAAGGCACTTTTTTAAGCGCAATCCAGTGGCGTAGTCAGTTTTTTTCTATACTTGCTTTTTTTGTCAGAAATAATGAAAAATATATTTTTTTAAATGGAAATCATAGTTGGCTATGAACTTAAAAAAATGCCGGCGTTTAACCCTTTCCAATGATATAAAGTTATGTGTATTTATTTCTAAAAATGAGAGAAATATTAGGTTTTTTATCTTTGTGTCGAAGCGGGCCTTGATTTTGTGTTGACCTATTATAGTTGCCTTATTATTTTTTGTCACAATTTAATATTCTATATTATTATTTATCTGCATAATTAAAGACTTTTGAAAAGGTAAATCAACATTCTATCTTAGTATTAACATTTACAATTAAAACGCCAGGGTTACAACTGCACTATTAAATGGAGAATTTAGAAAGAATTGGATTGGAACAAAGGGCCCCTATCTTGGCCCCCATATCTAGGCCTGCTAGGTTCTGTAATTTAACTCCTTTCAACTTTTTTATGGGTGAAATTATAAGACCTTAAGAGTTTATTTTTTTTTATTTTTCTTAAACCTTTAGAATTATATCCATATACAGGGTTGTTCACCACATACGACACGGAGTATTGTAGCTAAACGATTAGATTTTTACAAATTGTAAGATTTGGGTTCGTTGAAGAACTGTTAGAGCTACAATTTAAATTTATTTTTACAAGATACAGAGTGTCCCAAATAAATAAAAAAATATCAAAGTTGTATTTTTATAAATGGAACACCCTGTATATTATTGCATTTTTAGTTTCTACGATTAAAATAAAGGTAAATTTGATTAAGGTTTATTACACTTAAACCTTACCGTTTTTGAAATATTTTCAATTTTGCGAAATTGCAGTATAAATTTTAAGGCTTCATTTCTCCGAGGATATCAAGGTTTTTAATACTAAATATTTACTGAAGTTTATTTATTGATCAGTTATTGTGTTGCAATAATAAAAATTATAGTACCTTATACAGAGTGTCTAAAAATTTATTTTAAATAATTACTAGCTTTAAACGGCAATAACTTATTTAATTTAAATAGAACACCCTGTATATTTTATGAGAAGCAGATGCACGATTTAATTGTCTATCAAATTGTATCGTACCACTTCTTACCTATTCCTTCAAGTTTTCGTAGAAAATGCATTTTCTTATAATTTAGACCTCATTTATCAATATACCCATGGAATATTGACATTTTAGATTGTTTTTAAAACAAATGTACAAAATGTACGGGCTAGTAATATTATCGTTTTTAGTAAAACGATAATATTATTATTACTAAAAATAATATCGTTTTTAGTAAAACGATAATATTACTAGCCCATTTGTATGCAAAAAGAAAACTATTTAAATCTTTATAAAAGAGTATACCATTAATTAAATATACCACCAGTATTTCCGCCCAAATACTAATTAACTACATACTTAATTGTGTTCGTTAATAAATTATTCTAAATAAATGTGGATTTGAATTAGAAATCAATATTATAATAAGTTATGAAAATGAACGTATCTGTTGTTATAAATAAGCATTTGTCAAAAAATTAAATATCATTTTTAAGGTGTTACTTTTTATCACACTGTCTAATACACATACATAATTCAGTTTTTTAGTATTTGGAGCAATTATTATTTATCAACGCAAACAGTCAATTAATGTAGTTTGAATACTGGAATCATATTAACTGGTCCTCTTTAACAAATATTTAAACAGTTTTTTTATTTATTTTTTAATGAAATAAACGAACTATATCGACAATATTAGTATCTGTACTCTTTAAAAATTTGGTACATCTTTAAAAATAATCAAAAATGTCAGTATTCCATGGGTATATTGATAAATGAGTGGACGGAAACTTGAAGAGATAGGTCAAAAATGGTATAATACAATTTGATAGACAATTAAATGGTGCATCTGATTCTCATAAAATATACAGGGTGTTCCATTTAAATTAAACAAGTTATTGCCGTTTAAAGCTAGTAATTATTTAAAATAAATTTTTAGACACTCTGTATAAGGTAGTAAAATTTTTATTATTGCAATACAATAACTGATCAATAAATAAACTTCAGTAAATATTTAGTATTAAAAACTTTGATACCCTCGGAGAAATGAAGCCTTAAAATTTATACTGCAATTTCACAAAATTGAAAATATTTCAAAAACGGTAAGGTTTAAGAGTAATACACCTTAATCAAATTTACCTTTATTTTAATCGTAGAAACTAAAAATGTAATAATATATAGGGTGCTCCATTTAAAAATATACAACTTTGATATTTTTTATTTATTTGGGACACTCTGTATCTTGTAAAAATATTTTTAAATTGTAGCTCTAATAGTCCTTCAACGAACCCAAAACTTACAATTTGTAAAAATCTAGTCGTTTAGCTACAATACTCCGTGTCGTATGTGGTGAACAACCCTGTATAAGGGAAGAACCATTGGGACGAGAGAAGAATTACAGAAGATTACTAAGCAAGCTTTTGGACTTATTACACAGATCGCCTAATAAATCGTTGTAACTCTGTGCGCAAAAACTATATTCACCACACAAAAAATACGTTTTTTTAGTCTTGTTCTTTGTTTATTGTATCGATCTCAAATGTAATTACTAATACCCTTGTTTATATAGGCTAATACTAATATAGAATGTTAATTTACCTTTCCAAAAGTCTTTAATTATGCAGATAAATAATAGCTAATATAGAATATTAAATTGTGATAAAAAATAATAAGGCAACTATAGGTCAACACAAACTCAAGGCCCGCTTCGACCCAAAGATGAAAAACCTAATATTCTCTCATTTTTAGAAATAAATACACATAACTTTATATCGTTGGAAAGGGTTAAACGCCAGCATTTTTTAAAGTTCATAGCCAACTATGATTTCCATTTAAAAAGTTATATTTTTCATTATTTGTGACAAAAAGAGCAAGCATCGAAAAAAACTGACTACGCCACTGGATTGTGCCTTAAGAACGTTTTTACAGAATTTTATTATACCGCAAAATAAAAAAGTTATGAGCAATATTCAAAATGGTATAAAATTCAAAAATACCCTGTATCTCAGTTGGCCGTGAAAATATCAACAGGCGGTTTACGCCATTGAACGTGTCTCAGAAATCGAGCTCACGACATCTATGTCGGTTTTGCTCTATCTAGTCAGGAAATAGGGTTTCTCTGTTAAAACAGACCAATTTCGACCACCCTGTACAAATAAAATATATTGGATGTCTACGTAAGAAATTTTATGAAAAAAAAAACATATGTGGCAACATGGTGGTAGATATGTGGCAAATTTGTGAGTTATTTTGGTAAACCATAATATTTATTATTATAAAACAAAATTCTAGTTTATAATTATATTTGTATTTTTATAGTCATTATATCAATACTTACTTTTTTCTTTTTTGTATCAAACTTTTAGGGGATATTTATCGGAAATCTGAATCCAATTATATCATCCTTCACCATAAAGTCAAAAAAAACTTGAAAAATGGAAAAAGGAAGTAAATATATGGGCATGAGATAGGAGTAGATGATAAAATTTTAAGATATTAGTAGCAGCTGCCAAATTATTTTTGTTTTTGAAATAGCTACTCGCGCTACGGTGAGAACAACAATTGTTACTTTATATTATTTTTTAACCTCTTATTGTTACCTTTTCGTAATATTTTATATGAGTATATTTTTAAACTCTTCTAAAATTTAATGTTTATTTAATATTTCAGGTTAAAACTATGTTGGATGTTCCTTCTTGCAAGAATTTGAAGATGGGAGGCAGTTGTGAAGCGATGGACTTACAAAAAAGAGGTAAGCATTTCGTTAACTTATCTTGTATCTCTTAAACTCCTTGGTTTCTCTGATATATTATTTATTGATATTTTTCTTTACATTTTAGATCATTTTTTTTTGGAAATGTGCATTAAAACAGGGAAAAATCAAAGATAAAGACTCTGGATACAGATAATAGTAGATTCTGGTAGATTATTTTCTTTTATCTATGGATATAGAGTTGATAATGGACGACACCTGGACGACACAAAATAATGACATAAAATAATCTCCTCTTTGCCTTTACCCTGTTTTGTATTTTTCTTTAATTCTTATTGATTAGAATTTTTAAAATAAGTAGATAAAAATTTTCAAATTATTTTTATTCGATATATGTGTATTTTATGTTGCCTATATTTAAGGCGTTTAGTAAATCACATTTTAAATTTCTTTGAAAGTGTGGTTAGAAAGTAGAAAAAAATAAAAATGTTTGCTTTTGCAGTATAAAAAGGATTTTTCAAATACGTTTCTAGACATACATAGAAATAATTTATAATTATGGAATTTGTACAAAATTCAGGGTAATTGCTATACTTTTAGTTTGTGAATTTAATATAATACATCACTTTTTCTAGATCCAGTTTGGAACCTCCTTGCAAAGAAATTATCGAAGATATTGAAGATTTGATTTCCTCGCAGGATATAACTCCTAAGGAGAGATATAATTCAAAGAAGCATGTGAAAGTAAAAGCCAGAAAGAAAAACGTACTTAAATATTTCTTTATATTCTATTATACAATTCATTTTCACATTTCCTTTAGAATGAAGAAAACATACCTGTTCCATTAGGTGACAATATTCCAGGAGTCCAAAACATTTATGTAAAAACCTGGGGCTGTGCCCATAACAGCTCAGATTCAGAGTATATGGCTGGTCAGTTGAGTGCTTACGGGTATAAACTTACCGATAATAAAACTGATGCTGACTTATGGTTATTAAACAGTTGTACTGTTAAAAACCCAGCTGAAGATCATTTTAGGTAAATTGTTTTTAAACTGAAACACTTCAAAATTGTTTATTATTTTGTTTTCTACATAGGAATGAAATTGAATCGGCTAAAAAGCTTGGTAAACATGTAGTTTTAGCTGGTTGTGTTCCACAGGGTGCTCCCAAGTCGTCTTTTGTTCAAGGATATAGTATAATTGGAGTTCAGCAAATTGACAGGGTTGTTGAAGGTACATAAACAAAATATTTGAAACATGAAAATATACAGGGTTATTCACCTCATTTAACACTGAATACTGTAGCCAAATGATTTGATTTGGTTTGATTTTGATTTTATTTATGAGTGATGGGATTGTTGATGGACTACTAAAGCTACAATTTAAAATTACTGTCAAAAGATAAGGAGTGTCCCAAATAAATAAAAAATATTAAAGTTGTATTTTTTTAAATGGAACACAGTTTGCTAACACTTTGCTACACACAGTTGGAACAGGTTTGCCATACTTCAATCTTAACGTTTTTGAAATACTTATGTAACAATTTTAATGCTTCATTTCTCTAAGCGTATTTAAGTTTTTAAAACTAAATATTGTACTGAAGTTTTTCTGTTTACTAAATTATGTGCTGCAATAATAAAAATAATACTACCTTATACAGAGTGTCTAAAATATATATTATATAATTACTAGTTTTAAATAGCAATAACTTGATTAATTTAAATGGAACACCCTGTAATTTTAAGAGAATCAGATGCACAATTTAATTGTTTATCAAATTATATTATACCATTTTTTACCTATCTCTTCAATTTTTTGTAAAAAATGCATTTTCTTATAATTTATATCCATGGAATATTGACATTTTAGATTATTTTTAAAGATGTAACAAATTTTCAAAACATACAGATGCTTATAATACTGTCCATACATTTCGCTTATTTTTCACATTTCTTTTATTTTTCACATTTAATTAGAATAATTTATTAACTTAAATAATTAAGTATGTAATTAATTAATATTTAGGCAGAAATTATGGTAGTATATTTTATTGGTATACTCTTTTACAATGATTTAAATAGTTTTCTTTTTGTAAACAAATAGGATAGCAATATTATCGTTTTTAGCACCTGTACATTTTGTAAATTTGTAGCTTTAAAAAAAATCTAAAATGTCAATATTCCAATATTCCATGGGTATATTGATGAAAGGTCTAAATTATAAGAAAATGCATTTTCTACGAAAAGTTGAATAAAAATAAGTTGGTAAGAAATAGTATAATACAGTTTGATAGACAATTAAATTATGCATCTGATTCACGTAAAATATACAGGGTGTTCTATTTAAATTGAACAAGTTATTGCTCTTTAAATTGCTAGTAATTATCTATATATGTATATAAAATACTAATGTTTATCTGTGTCGTCTCTACTGAAGTCACGACTTGCTCTAGAAAGTTGCTTTTTTTACTAAAAGATAGCTAATTGGCTCTACTAAAAACTGTCGTCGCCGGATTTTTTATTTTTCATTTAATTAAACAAAAAATAAAAAGGTTTTTTTTCCCGATGTCGTGGCGGATGCGCCAGGCTTCAACTAGTTTAATATAAATTTTTAGACACTGTGTATAAAGGTGTATAATTTTTATTATTGCACCAGAAAATTTAGTAAATAGGAAAACTTTTGTATAATGTTTGGTTTTAAAAACTTAAATACTCCTAGAGAAATGAAGCATTAAAATTATTATTGTTACTGCATTTTCACAAAATTGTGAATATAAAGCGGTAAGATCAAGGTGTGGTAAACCTTAATCAAATTTGCCTTTATTTTAATCGCAGAAATTAAAAATATAATATACAGGGCGTTTCATTCAAAAAAATACAACTTTGATATTTTCTTATTTATTTGGGAGACTCTGTACCTTTTGAGAGTAATTTTAAATTGTAGCTTGTAGTCTGCCAACGATCCCGTTACTAACAATTTCAAAATATCTAATCATTTGGCTACAGTCAAAGGTTACAATACTCCGTGTCGAATGAGGTGAATATTCAGTATTATTTTTTTATTTTTTTTACATAGGAGCATTTTTTTGTATCTCTAAGCATGTAAACTATATAGGGGACTATTAATATTATATACCTACGTTTTGTTTATCTAGAATTCTATTTTAGTTGTTGAAGAAACGCTTAAAGGGAACACAGTTAAATTATTAGGACCCAAAAAGGAAAATGGTAAAAAAATTGGTGGAGCATCTTTGCTCTTACCAAAAGTAAGAAGGAATCCTCTAATAGGTACTATACTATCATTAAATTTTATTTCCTTGCTTTATACAAGTTTTGTAATTTTTCAGAAATTATAGCTATCAATACAGGCTGTCTTAATCAATGTACCTACTGCAAAACCAAACACGCTAGGGGTGAACTAGGTAGTTATCCACCAGAAGAAATAGTAGCCAGGGCTAAACAAGCTTTTGAAGAGGGGGTAGTGGAAATATGGTTAACTTCAGAAGATACAGGTAGGTATACCAAATTTTTTTTTAGTTTAAAAATAATTAGACAATATTTTTCTCTAGGAACTTATGGTAGAGATATAGGTACATCCCTTCCTGAGTTGTTATGGAAATTAGTTGAAGTAATTCCAGAGGGGTGCAGGTTACGATTAGGAATGACCAATCCTCCGTATATCTTGGAACATTTAGAAGAAATAGCCAAAATAATGCAGAATAACAGAGTTTATAGTTTTTTGCATGTTCCAGTTCAGAGTGGAAGTGATCAGGTACTGGCCGACATGAAGCGGGAATATTCTAGAGAAGATTTCGAACATGTTGTAAATTTTCTAAGAGAAAAGTTAGTAGTTAAAAAGACATTACATTATTATCTCTTTAAAAAAATGTGCTATTTTACTTTAGGGTTCCAGGAATGACAATAGCTACAGATATTATATGTGGTTTTCCTACAGAGACTGAAGAAAACTTTGAAGATACCATGTCTCTGTGTAAAAAATATAAATTTCCTAGTTTATTCATTAATCAGTTCTTCCCAAGACCCGGCACACCAGCTGCTTTGTTACCCAGGGTGGACCCTCAAGAAGTAAAGGCTCGAACAAAAAGGTAAAACATTATACATACTCAGATGCAAAAAAACCCTACGACACTAACCAACTGGTCCAACTGGTTAAAGTTCAGTATATGCGAATCAATTTTATTAATAATGTGGCCTTTCTACTAGAAAGAATATAAAGATATACCGTATGATCGAATAAAAACGGCGTCAGCGATGGCTATGAAATGAAGATCGCTGTCATTTTATATGTAAATTTATATAGGAGATGTCATCGATCGTCCTTTCCCAGCCAACTGGACGCCGTTTTTTCTCGATCATACGGTATTACTATAGTTTGTCCAACGACAAGATCCTTGACAGTGATAGATGTGTCTGTCATTTTAATTTCAAAGTAGTTTATTTTATTTTACAAAGAAATAAGTTGGTACAACTGGAATGCATAGCAGGAAATTAATATATTTAAAATTTGACTGATAAGTGACTTCAAAATATTGTGAAAAAAAACTATAAAACTAAAAAAATGTAATCGAGTTGTTTTATTTAAAAAAAACGGTATGTGTTAATACAAAACAAACAAAAACAAAACACCACATGCAAAAAAAATATAAAAATGAACTATTTTTTACTTTCAAGCTTCAAGAAACTTCCTGCATTTATTATTATATTTATCAATATATAACTTATGTACAAATAAAAATTTGTAATATTCCACAGGAATAAATAAAACAAACTATTTTATTAATAATAACACTTACCAAATTTTATATCTTAAAGGTTGATTAATTTTAAACCAGTACCTTTTGACATTATTTTCTGCAGTACTAAAATCCATTATTTACCTATCGTGTGATGTCAATATATATATATTATATATATATATATATATATATATATATATATATATATATATATATATATATATATATATATATATATATATATATATATATATATATATATATATATATATATATATATATATATATATATATATATATATATATATATATATATAGATTTATTAAACCGCTTATACGAGCCCAAAAACTACGTTGCTTCATTGGGCTCAGACCCGATTTCGACATTTCAGGCCCGCGGTCGGGTCTGAGTACGATTTCAGTGGTTATCGTCTAGAACGGTTTCCCCACTTCCCCTCGCCAAATTTCAGCTGGGCCTGAAAAAATGGTTTTATGTTTTTTATATACGATTGGGGGTACACCGGTACTGACACGGGCGGCGCCACCTTCGACATTAGTATAAGTGTATAAGACAATTTACGTTGAATCGATGTATTCAGACCCAAGAACCGGCAACACGGTAAAGCAAACTATTAAAGGGAAACGAAGATATAGCCGTGTTATATTTGGTAGAAAACAAAATGCTCATACTTTAATTAGAATATTAAGAAATTCAGACAAAAAAAAATCCGGTCGTTCGGCTAATAAATATTATATGTTTGTATATGTATTATATTATATAGAAACAAAATTATTTCGATCGGCGGGTCAAAAATTGTAGGAGTACCTAAAAATTTATTTCGATGCTATGATTTCGTTGTAGAAGTAACTAAATTTTTTTTCATCTAAATCGATCAGCGCGTCGTGTCGAAGAATTGTAGGAGTAACTACAAATTTATTTCGATGCTGTGATTTCGCTGTAGAAGTACCTAAAATTTTTTCGTCTAAATCGATCGATTCAAAAAATTGTACGATTACCTAGAAATTTATTTCGATACTATGACTTCGTTGTAGAAGTATTTAAAAATTATTTTCATTTAAATCGATCGTCGTATACCGGGTGCGTCTCAAAAGTTGCTTACCCCTACAACTTTTTTTATTTTGTCAGATAAAAAAACGAGTTTTGGTATGTTTTTGTTATTAAAACGATAACATAAATTAGGATTGATTGACGTATTCAATTGTTTTTGGTCACTTCCTGTTTCACCGGAAATAACTGCAACTTTTGATTTTTAAATGACACCCCCGGTATGTTTTTACATTATTCGATAGAAAATCACACTCTGAATAGAATAGCATATCATAATATGTCAATTTTTGACATTTTCACATATGATTTATTTGTAACATGCGGTTCATAATGACAATTTGACTCGAGTACCAAATTGTGGTACCAAATTATTCGTAGAAAAATGCTTTTTCCAAATATGCTATCGAGCCACCTTTGTTCCGTTTGAAAAAATTGAGATACTACTCTCTATAATACATAGAAATTTAAAATAAAATTTTTTAAGCAAAAATGTCAAAAGTTGACATATTATGATATATTATTCTATTCAGAGTGTCATTTTCTATTGAATAATGTAAAAACATACCGGGGGTGTCATTTAATAATCAAAAGTTGTAGTTGTTTCCGGCGAAACTGGAAGTGACCAAAAACAATTTAATACGTCAATCAATTCCAATTTATGTCATATACTAACATACCAAATCTCGTTTTTTTATCCAAAAAAAAAATAAATAAAAAAGTTATAGCGGTGGACCACTTTTGAGACGCACCCAGTATAAAATGACAGCAACCTTCATTTCATAGCCATCGCTGACGCTGATTTTTTTTTCGATTATACGGTAGCTAATCAGTACAATAATTAATTTTATTTGATTACTACGTTCACTAAGATCTAAAATAGTAATTTTAGTGTAACAAAAATGTTGATTGCTACAAGTAATAACGTTGTATATTCAGTTTACAGCTGGATGCTATCTACCAACACCATATAAATATAACAAACACGTTCTATGGTTGCATCTCTATAATATGTTCTACATTCTATCTATATTTACTTCGTAGTCGAAAACTTAGTTAGAGTAATATATGGTAATATAATATTAATATTCATTGATTGCAATATGAATGAGAATAGTGCTTTGTTTTAATCATAATTCTAATAAATTGAACTTGAAAGTATGGGTTTCCCAGAAAAGTAGGTGGTTCCCATTCTATACAAATAGGGAATTCCCAGAAGTTCATGCTTTTAAACCTACACTTTTTTTACTACTTTACTGCTATAGGAATTTTATTTAAATTTAAATGATTACATTACACTTTTAAACATTTTGTTTACAGTTTCATCCAAACTCAACTCGCCAGGTTAGACTTTAAATTATTTATATTTTGTGACGGGAATTCGTTACAATTATTTTGTCGGGTGTCGAAAAATAAACTTTATGATAAAACTCGAAGAATTTCAACAAATCACTTTTATTAACAAACTGTACGTTTCCGTGACAAATCAAATCATATGTTTTTTCTACCTACTGTCCCTCGCTCTTTTTTATAATGGACTCGTCCAAGCGGTCCGAAGCCAAGAGCCCTATAATAATAATACCGTATGATCGAAAAAAAACGGCGTCCAGTTGGCTTGGAAATGACGAACGATGACATTTCCCATATAATTTTTCATATAAAATGACAGCGATCTTCATTTTATAGCCATCTTTGACGCCGTTTTTATTCGATCTTACGGTAGTTCTCTGTTCCAATTTTTAAATAAAATTTGTAGAAACAATCTTAATAAGAATACTTACTACCTATTTTGATTTTTTTTCGTCTGAATCTCTTAATATTCTAAATGAATACACTTTACTTATTAGATAAGTATACACATGGCATATGTATGATTCCAAAAAACGGCGTCAATTTACCTTTGAAAACAATCGTCAGAATCGATCGTCGTGTCAAAAAATTGTACGAGTATCTAAAGTTTTTTTCATCTAAATCGATCACCGTGTCAAAAAATTGTACGAGTATCTAAAAATTTATTTTGATGCTATGATTTCATTGTAAAAGTATCTAAAAATTTATTTCGTGCTATTATTTCGTTATAGAAGTACCTAATTGTACGTAGAAATACCTAGAAATTTATTTCAGTACTATGATTTCGTTATTGTAGTACCTAAAAAATTTTTCGTTTAAATCGCTCGTCGTATTTGTGTTTTAACATTATTCGATACAAAATTACACCCTGAGGGTGCATCCACACTATTCTAAAGACAGCGTATCTGCGTAACGGCGTAACGACCTTGAATCGATTTCCAGTAATTCTATGGGCTGAAATTTTTGACAGATAAAATTTCTGATAGATGAATTTTTCATCCAATAGAATTACTGGAAATCTATTCAAGGTCGTTACGCCGTTACGCCGTTACGCCGTTTTTAGGATAGTGTGGATACCTAAATCTATCGAGGCGACGCGACCCGACGCGAAGGGTCAAAAATTGTACGAGTAAAAAACTTTAGGTACTTCTCTATATGTATAACCATATGCAAAAATGTCAAAAAATTAACATATTATATGTCATTCTATTGAGGGTGCATCCACACTATCCTAAAAACGGCGTATCGGCGTAACGGTGTAACGACCTTGAATCGATTTCCAGTAATTCGATTGGCTGAAAATTTTGACAGATCAATTTGATAGATAAAATTTCTGACAGATGAATTTTTCAGCCAATAGAATTACTGGAAATCTATTCAAGGTCGTTACGCCGTTACGCCGATACGCCGTTTTTAGGATAGTGTGGATGCACCCTCAATAGAATGACATCATACCTAATATGTCAATTTTTTGACATTTTCTCATATGGTTTATTTGAAATTGTAACTTGCGGTTCATAATGACAATTTGACTCGAAATACCATGTGTGTGGTACCAAATTATTCGTAAAAACTGCTTTTTCTAAATATGCTAACGAGCCTCCCTTGTTCCGTTTGGAAAAATTGAGATATGATTAAAAATACGATTTGGGCATCTTATAACAACGGGCCCGGACAAGACACGAAAATCATTAGATTATCAAATCTATTTTTCCAAGGCTCCTTGATTAAAAATTAGTGTTTTTAATACAGCCATGGCACTCCAAATTGAAATTTAAAAAACAATTTGTTTAAAGCGAGAATGTCAAAAGTTGACATATGATATGTCATTCGATTCAGAGTGTCATTTTCTATCAAAAACTGAAATTTTTGACAGATCAATTTGATAGATAAAATTTCTGACAGATGAATTTTTCAGCCAATAGAATTACTGGAAATCTATTCAAGGTCGTTACGCTGTTACGCCGATACGCCATTTTTAGGATAGTGTGGATGCACCCTCAATAGAATGACATATAATATGTCAATTTTTTGACATTTTCGCATATGGTTATACATATAGAGAAGTACCTAAAGTTTTTTTCATCTAAATCGATCATCGTGTCGAAAAATTGTACGAGTATCTAAAAATTTATTTCGGTACTATGATTTCATTGTAGTAGTACCTAAATTTTTTTTTCGTCTAAATCTATCGTCGTTTCAAAGAATTGTACGAGTACCTAAAAATGTATTTCGTGCTATGATTACGTTATAGAAGTGCCTAAAGATTTTTTTCATCTAAATCGATCGACGGGTCAAAGAATTGAACGAGTACCTAAAGATTTATTTCGGTGGTATGATTTCATTGTCGAAGTAATTACATCAAAGTAATTACGATCATCGTATATATGAGTGACTGTACGATAAGGCCGTTTTGTATGATATTTCTCTCCACAGGAAAAAGTTTACACAAAAAGGTACCGTATGATCGAAAAAAAGCGGCGTTCAGTTGGCTTGGAAATGACGATCGATGACATTCACCATATAATTTTACATATAAAATGCAATTTTCATTTCATAGCCATCGCTGACGCCGTTTTTTTTCGATCATAAATATGATAGAATTCAGTTATTTCACAATAATTAATTTTATTGCATTATTTCGTTCAGTGAGATCTAAAATAGTAATTTCAGTGAAACAAAAATTTTGACGGCTACACGTATTCTTTAAACTGTGGCTGCACACTACAGTAATACGTATATTCAGTTTACTTTTAACTTTTTTTCTTTTAAAGTATAAAGATAATATACGGGGTTCCATCATCACTTAGTAAACACTTACAAAATTTACTAAACGAAATTGATAATGCATTGTAACTTGATTATGCTTATTACAAAGAAATTTAATTTTTAAAGAAATTTCAGATAAAAAAGCTTTCGTACAGATGCATTTATAAGGCAGAATATATCTAATACTAACAATAAGTACAATAATATTCACTAGAGCAGAAATGCACCGTTTTTACTTCTGCACTGTGATCAATTACCGCGTCAAAAGGTCCGTTCGTCTAATTCTAATATAAATATTTGAGAATTAAAAGCGGCAACGTCGTGGGTCTGGCGAAAACGAATAAACCTCTATTTTTTATATAAATGGGACAAATTAAACGGTCCAGCATCAGGGCCTGACGGCATCGCTCGAACATTTTTCGTCCGATATACCCCGGGTCTGACGGCCTATCTTAAACGTACCGGGTCTGACTCCGTCGATTTAAATATATATATATATATATATATATATATATATATATATATATATATATATATATATATATATATATATATATATATATATATATATATATATATATATATATATATATATATATATATATATATATATATATATATATATATATATATATATTTTACAGCTCTACTCCAGTACTATATGTTTAGTACGATCCTTGTAGCATATACGAGATGGTATACAAACTTTATTGATGGTAACTTTATTGGTGTATTAGACTTTCTGCCTGGGCAGCGAGTATTAACTATAAACTGTGCTCTGGGTCTACAGTTAATTTTCCCTCGATTTTTCCTCCACTCGGCTTCAAAAGACACAAAACACACGTAATAACACGAATCAAAATGCATCATCTTCCAAAACGAAGATATTTGACATAAGTTGACACAAAATTATAACCTATAATTTGGCAAGTCTTTGACAAGCCTCAAAAATCTAAAGGCGAGTTCATACGCATCGGCGTTCGTTCATCGTTCATCGTTCCGTCAAACCAATAAAATTGAAATATGATCTGTCATTTTTGGAACAAACCAATAAAACTGATTAAAAACAACAAAAGACGACGAATGGCGGATTTATATTTAACCCCATCCATAGTTAACTTAAAAAATATTAGAAACTTTTTTAGTAAAATAAATAGATTGGTATGGGACGTCATCTGCTTCTGTCATCGTCTGTCGAAATCTTACCTGAGAAAAAAAAACAGAGTATAACAGCCAGTAGTGTTGTCTTTGACTCGCCATCCCATGTTGCAAAAAGAAACCCCAAATAATATTTTTGTTTTTATTCCTTCTTGTATAATATATAGCTATCAATATTTTTTATTTTCTTCGTAACATCATCAAACAAGTTTATATATATTAATGCTAAACAAATCTCCTCTAATGCACCAGCTCTATTGTAACAATTTTTGTAGTCCTTGTTTTTACCCTCCCATAATAATAAATGCGCTCTATAAAGCTCTGTTAGTTTGCAGACATTTTTTTATAAAGATGGAACACTCCACCATATACTATTGTCATATATTAGCAGTACCAGCACTCCACAGTACTAAATTTGTGAGATTCCATTAGTTTCCTACATTTAGTAACGCACGATATCCACACTGCACCGACAACTTGTTGTAAAACACACGACAAAACAGAGACTCTTTGAACTTTACCGACTCGAGACGGGATATTCAAAAGTCTCCGAGTTTGGAAACAAAACAAAAATGAGAGAGAAATGTCGCAGAAATATTGGATTTGTCGCAACTTTGTCTTAAAATATGAATGTTTCTATCTTTTTACTGTTTTGCCTGCTTGGTCTGGACCCGGCTTTACGTTTTTTTGCATCTGAGTGTATTTTTTTATATATTAATTTTTAGGCTTACAGAACTGTTTTATGCCTACACACCTTATGATCATAAAGTGGGCGAACTACAAGAAATTTTAGTTACAGAGGTATGTCACTTATTTTATTGAATTTTATGTGATTTGATATTATTTGAATTATTTTTGAAGATATCACATGATAAGAAACATTATGTTGGTCACAATAAATTCTATGAGCAAGTTTTGATTCCAATGAATGGGAAATTTATGGGAAAACTCGTGAAGGTGAAAATATTAAGCGCCTCTAAGTTTTCCATGATGGGACAACCACAAAGTGACTTGGTAATGCCAGGGCTGGCACATCCATTGGACAAAGGCGTTGTATCTGGGGTTACCATTAATAAACCTAATAATAAGGTAAATATTTTTCATTTAGGCTGTATTCCGTTGCAAAACCAGGCGAACCAGACCGGTATACTATGGTAAAGAGCGGTTCCTGAAAAACATGGGTTTGATACCGTTTGGTAAAATACTGGAAACATCAAATGTTGACGTTTTCTAAATTTCAATACCTCTATTATAAAATTTTTTATTTTTATGCGCGTGTAGTGCACACACAATTCTTTTTCATGTTTCGCACACACAATTCTTTTTCATGTTTCTTATCACTTTATGTATCTTTTTTTGGAATTCAAAACTGCTTCAGAAATGTTTGTGAAATCTCTGTTTTCTTTTCAGATTTGGGTACCAATTATTTTGGTGATTGTGAGTGCCTTGATAAAATTTCTCCTTAGATACTTTTAACATAAAGTTATCAAGAACTTGTTGACATTACATCAGTGTGAGCAGTAAACTTTGGATACATGACCTATAACATTGAATAATTCATGATAATTGATCTTGTATAAAAAATACCCGAGATTCAATATGCTGCTTATTGCATTTGTTTTACTTGTATATTTATTAAGTAATTAATATGTATTTAATTAAATATGTTTTGTTTTTATTTGCTTAATTTATCCATATCCTCCATACTAAAATTTAATATTTCACTCTCGATTTAAGTATGCTCTAACTCTATATAATGTTATCCATAATAAACAAGTAATTTAAAATACAAATAATTTATTTACGTTTCTATATTTTTTAAAATTATCTTGAATTAATATAAAAAATAGTATATCATTTTGAAAATTCTCAGCTTCTGATAAGCTTTTTACACTAGTGTAATATTACTACTGACGTCTTTTCAAATCCTTACTTAATTTTAGTAAAATAGTATATTTAATAAATTAAGTTAGGATGCAAATATCGTATGATCGGAAAAAAACGGCGTCCATTTGGCTAGGAAATGACGATCGATGACATTTCCCATAAAAAATTAACATATAAAATGACAGCGTTCTTCATTTCATAGCCAATATGCATTATACTGCAACAAAACCCCCCTTAGCCGAATAATTTTTGTGTTTTTTCTGTTTAAAAATTAAATATTACTTTTTATTTCTAGAAAAACGAGATACAAAATGATTCCACTCAATGGACACGTTTTTTTGTAAATTAACGCTTCAAACATTTGCTAAAATAGTTTTTACTTATTATCTCGAAACAAGATTTGCGGGATAAGATGGGTTTTTGCAACTTGACCAATAAATAAAGATTTTATTCTTTATGCATTGAACTTGACGCCCGAATTATTCTTGACAAAATGGTGAATGCGCCCAAAATTTTAATTAAATTTGTTAATTGTAGTATGCAACCAGTAATACAAACATGTTAAAAACAAGGCCATACATGGCTTATGAAGAAAACCAGTGACTAAGGAATACATTATTTATTAGTTTTGTTTGTTTTTCACCCACTTCAAAATCGACTTCTACAAAGCACCGCATGTAGAAGTAAAGGTGACAAGAATACAATGGGGTGCCCCAAAGGTTAAGGCTAGTAAAGGAGATCGCTAGTAAGTCTTCTATCTAGCCAGACATCCCTTTGATATGGTACCGCCATCGTAGGCTTTAGATTTCTGTTGAGATTGTCTCCTCTTGGTCAGGGCAGTTAAGCCAAGATCCCCTCCCCACACACACACTCTTCCCATTATACATGGCCACAAACAGTAGAGGGTGCCTGGTATGACGGACAGGGTAGTCCCATCCGGCATCGTTATAATATGTCTTAGTGCAATTCCCTGGCCACGACATTACAGCCAGGAGCATGACAATGAGATGTTCCGTAGACCCAGCCAAAGTGCCGGAGGGGATTCCCCCTAGCACCTGACTTAGAGCTTCCCCACCAACAACGTCTTGCATCACCTAGGAGAAGTGGGATTGTAATTGAAGGGTCCAGGGGAAAAATTTGATAAGCGCCAATTTCTTAATTTTAGGATTTTACAGTATTTTAGTAGGTCTAGCTGGTCCCTACAAAATGTATACTCTGCAGGGCAATAAGTTTTTAAATCCTATGATATCGTCGGTGAAATGTGATAAACTACTAACTCCATTATTCCTAATTTTACAGGAGAGCAAAAAAACGGTATAAAAAAATATGTGCACATGTAGGAAGTATTTTCATGCGTTAATATGATAAAGAGATAAGAATGTTATTTGCTGAGGAACAATAAAACTCAATATTTCGTGTTACGTAATTTTTTTCAGACACAATAGGGAGATAGCAGATATTCGTCTTGCAGAAATAAGAAATAAAAATATACTTCTGGAGATAGCAACCTTTATTGTTTGAAATTTTGAAAATGGAATTGAATATTACCCAAACAGATTTAGAAATAACCAATTAAATTTAAAAAATATGATATTCATAACCGTATATTTATAATATCGTCGGTCTAGAAAGAGAACAAAACATACAAGTCCAAAAAAGAATAAATTTTTAACGCATTGTTAAAGAACTGAAGTAGCAGCATTTTGGACTTAATGAATATGAAAATAATTTAAAATTTAAACTTATAATTCTCAGAAGATATGGTAGAATCCTTCCATGCTTATCCTAATTTTTATACAACGGTAGTAGACTATGTATTTATTAAATTTTGATTACTTTTCTATATATTTTTTTAATTTTTATAAAAATTATGTATCATTGACGTGGAAAAACATTGAAAAAAAAACTGATTAGGTATTATGGAAATTCTTGTACAAGTAAGTAATGGTTATTTAAATTATTTATTGCACGCCGATGAATTGCTCGTATATAGAGAATTTCGTTTTTCCCTTTACCCTTTACCGGATAGGCCGTATTTACAGAACGGATCGACGCAGGGTCGGACTGGCCATATTATATATATAACTATTAGGGGGGCCCAGTCTTCGCGGGCCCCCTTTATAGGTCATTATTTATTGTTAACAATATTTGCTTTTGCATTGCATTATGGCATTTGCATTGGATTGGTTTACCTTGCATTAGAGTAGTTCCCTGATTTCTATACAGGGTGAGTCTTAAATAAGTGCAAATATTTTCAGGGCTGGTAAATCTCGATAAAAGAAACATAATATTTTCTCTTTGCCGTTTTTTCAAATAAATCCAAAACAACCGAGTTATTTCACTTTTAAAATTCTAATTTTTTGCTATAATTTTAACAATCATTAGATTTTCTTTCTTGTAAATTTAATCTACTACCTATGTTGCCACAATGTACCTATGTTTTTAAACTCAAAATTAAAAAAAAATAATTTCGCGCAAAAAACCTCTTAACCTTGTATTGGCTTTCCCTACTTATAGAGTATTTTTTTCTCTTTCTACTGGTATAAAAAAACTTATTCACATAAAAAATGGAGTTAGCAGGTTATCACGTTTCACTGACGATATATTGTAACAAGGGGGAAATTTTGAGGGTCGGTTTGATGAAGTAAAAGGCGATAGTTTAAGTTCCTCGTGTATTTCTCTCTCTCTTTTGTAACTCTTTGCTATAATGGCTAGCACCAAGTTAATTCATACAAAATATAATAACTAATAAGATGTATGGTGAAATTTTAAACCACAGGCTGCCGCCGTTATTTGCAAAAGTTAAGAATAAATGTAGAAATAAATTTACTTAAATCGAAGATATTTTTTATCCGTATACCAGATTTATTTAATAAAATGGGTATAAGCGGCGACATCTACAAGACGGGTGTTTGAACGCATTGAATGTTAATAAGGTTTACTACATTTACACTAAAATATTCCCATGTAGTCCAGTAATTTAACAACAAATAATCAATAACCTAATATATTTTGTTTCATCTGCCTCCCTGTGAACTGAGAGATCGAAGAACACACGAGGTTCACATAATTTATAAATTTAATAAATAGTATCAATATATGTGCTATAACTATATAGCTCACACAATTTATGGTGGGTGATATGTATGGAGTTGCAGCACGTTCAATTATACCCAGATTTTCCATTTACGTGTCAGTTTTGTTGACGGCTTCTCGATAAGCTTAATATGGATATGACTTATCGGATATGACTTAATAAAAAAGATCGGTATTATGAAGTTTAATTTGATGATTATAATTTTTTACACGACCCGGTATATTTGAAAAAATCGATTCATATTCGCTAATCAATTCTTTAGACATATGTTTCTCATTAAAACTTGAATTTGTATTTTTTGTGACACTCTGTATATCAGTTGACTGCACAACTGCATTTGCTGTAACAAAACTCTCGTATTTTGATAAACTGCGCAAATTTAACGATTCTCTACCATCATATTCGTGAGAATAATTTTTTTCTGATAAAGCAATTTCTTCATCGCCTACCGAACAAAATATTTTATTTATTAGTATTTTAATAAAGCACGCTTTTAGATGTTTCAAAAAACTTTTAATAAGAGTAACTTTAACTCAACATATATGTTTCGGCTTGTTAGGCCTTTTTCAAGAGTTTTTTAAGAACTGAAACTGAACTTCTTGAAAAAGGCCTAACAAGCCGAAACATATATGTTGAGTTAAAGTTACTCTTATTAAAAGTTTTTTGAAACATCTAAAAGCGTGCTTTATTAAAATACTAATATTTCAACGATGTTTCACAAGGAACCAACCACAGCTTCAGTACATTTTATTTATATTTAAATCGATACGTACTTTCTATTTTCGTAAAAAATCAATTCCTAAAATAATTGAATAAACAAGATCAGGTATGACAAAAAATTCCTGGTAAAAAATATTATTTTCACACGAAAAACAAATTAAAGTTTGTAATTGTATTTTTCTTTGTTTTGATTTAAACGCCCCTATAACTCTTATGCCAGAATACGGAAAAGATGGAATGTCACTTTTAATTTTATCAGAAAAAGAGTTCCAAACGTCTTCAGAGACTACGGAGATTTCACTTCCAGTGTCAATTAAAGCGGAGAAAGAAAACCCATACAATTGCGTTTCGATAATCGGCGATCTATAATTAACAATTTCGTGCTTAAAGCTACACTCATCTTTAAGTAATTCATCTCTAACGTTATTATTAAAACTAAAAACCCCTTTTAAAACGTTTTCCACAGCCGGGCTCGTCTGTGGAAAACAATCTAGTTTTCCGAATTTTCCTAACATTCAACATTATCCTGAGTTTGCATACTAGATAAGTTTTTTGTCTGATTTTGTCCCGACATCTGTTGTGATTGTGATCCATGTCTAGAATTATTTTGTTTATAAAAATAATTTTTTCCCGGTCTTGTTGAATGTGAAAAAGAATCCGTCGTACTAGCACTAAAATAATATTCGGCCTGTCTAAGACGCTGAAGGGCATCTTGAAATGTAACTGCGCCGATTAAAGTACAAGAAATACTTGGTGGAAAATGTCGCGCAATAATTTGAATTAATTGCGGGGGCGGATAGGCAGGTTCTAAATGTTTAGCCAAAACTACATAGAATTAAAATATTCTGTAAATGTAGCGCTGCCATTTATAGGGTAAATATCCGAATCTAATTTCAGTCTAATCTTAAGTTGCTGAGATTGACTCCAATATTGAGCTAAGAATTGATTTTTAAAATCTTGAAAATTAGTGAA